TTAGATTCTAGATCAGAGCTCCACATACAAAAGAGCAGAATGGCTCTGCAGAAAGATCGGGAAAGACTCTGATTGACTGCTCACGATCCATGATAAGCACTTCAAAACTACCACTCCATCTTGCTCCGGAGACATATGTCACTGCAGGATATCTTCTCAATCGCACACCTACGCGATCTCTTAGCTGGAAAACACCATTTGAAATAGCGTACTGCAAGAAGCCTTCAATAGCTCATCTCAAAATATATAGCTGCCGAGCATACGCACTACGCACGCAGATACCGCGAGGTGATAAGCTCACTCCTCGTGCCCTCATAGGCTACATTGTTGGCTACGATGCCTCAAATATCTACAGGATCTGGATACCGAAAGCAAAGAGTAGAGCGCACCAGGGCAAAGTCATTCGCACACGTGATGTGACGTTTAGAGAGGACATGTTCTACCAAGCTTTCGATAGTCAAGATCCACTACTACAAGGCGAAGAGATACAAGAGGTTATACATACAATCCATATGCCACCACTGCAGAATCCAGAAGAGTCTTCTGAAGAAGAGGACGAAGGCGCTACAACAGAAGCCAGCCAGGATATGGATATACCAACTTCGTCCACACAAAGTACTGAAAAACCTCATGAGGATCACAACGCAGGATCTCTGCCTACCAGAGATGTCAACAATCAAGCTCATCAAGCCGAGCTAACGCGATATAGTAATGATTAGGCCTAAAAAAGCTAGCCTATTACTGTATCAAGTTAGCTCGGCTTGATGAGCTTGATTGTTGACATCTCTGCTGCCTACACCAGCTGTGACAGCTACTCCAGATCCAGACAATCACATGGGATATCACCAAGTCTCACCAGCTACAGCCAGCCATAGTTCCACGCCTACTCCAGAAACACAGCCATCTACTCGTACATCAAGAAAACGAAAGCGACGCGACTCAATAGAGCAATCAGTAGACACAAACGCTGCAGCAAATCGCGAACTTATCGACAGCAATCTACGCCATTCACATATACTGCCAGAAGGAGCAGCAAGATCTAGGAAGCCCACACGCAAAAGCAGCAGCTTCTTCGTCCGTAAATACTAGTCCACGTTCGTGGCAGCATCTATCACAGCTCCAAAAACATGATTCCACCACTTAACTCTACCTCCTAAGCCACGTTTCTATCAAGATGTTATAAAGCTCCCTACCGTACATAAGCAAGGCTTTATAGCAGCAATGCAACGTGAGATCTCAGATATTAAGCGCAAGGATACGTACAAGACTATATCCTGGAAGGATTTTAACACTCAAGACACCGAAGTCCTGCCGCTAATATAGGTGTTTAAATACAAGCTTAATAACGAGGGATATCTAGTTAAATACAAGGCTAGAATCTGCGTTCAAGGCGATCTACAAGCGACAGCTAAGGATACATACGCTGCAACTCTAGCTACGCGCATCTTTCAAGGACTTATGGCTATCGCAGCATACTTCAACCTTAAAATACGCCAATACGACGCAGTCAACGCATTCACTAATGCTCAACTTAATACACCTGTTTACTGTCACCCGCCAGAAGGCTTCTCTAATGCTGAGCATCTGTGGGAACTACGCAGAGCTCTCTATAGGCTTAAGGCCTCACTACTACTATGGTACAAAGAGCTTACAAAGACGCTTAATGAACTAGGTCTTCAAGAAGTCAAAGAGGCACCTTGCCTTTGGCGAAATGAAAAGCTTATTGTCTTCTTTTATGTTGATGATATAGTTATACTCGCGCGTCCAGCCCATACAGCAGCACTTGACGACTTTGAACGTAAGCTACTACGTCGATATGAGATCCGATCGCTTGGAGAACTATCCACCTTCTGTGGAATACAAACACACCGCGACAGATCAACTGGATCTATCTGGCTATCGCAGTCAGCCTACCTTGACAAGCTTAACGCCAAATATCCATCACCAAAGTCGTTCAAGCGGCCTCCAGCCACTCCTCTCCCTCTAGAGGAACTACTCCCTTTAGGCCAACCAAGAAATGACGCGAATATACACAGATACGCATAGCTAGTTAGATTAATTGGCTATGTGGCAGCTGCTACACGACCTGATGTATCAAAAGCGCATTTAAAACTGGCTGAATTCCTCACCAACCCTTCACAACAGCATATCAATGCTGCCTATCAAACGCTCAGCTATCTATACTCTACTAAGGATCAAGCACTGTACTACAATGCCTCCATCTCTACCGACATAGCACATATTGAAGATCATCAAGAACCAGACTTCTATGGTGCTACGGATGCCTCGTACGCCGACCACAAGGCCACAAGGAAAAGCTCGCAAGGCTACATCTTCTTCCTATTTGGCGGGCCTATTGACTGGAAGGCTACACTGCAACGATGTGTCACAAAATCAACTACTGAAGCTGAACTGATCGCCGCCTCGTCTGCAGGCACAGAGCTGCTATGGTGGTGGAGACTATTCAAGGAGATTAAATTTGATCCAGGCAATGAGCAGATACTATACTGCGACAATCAACAGACAATACGGCTGATTATAGCAGCTACACCACGACTTAAGACGTCGCTTAGGCACGTCGACATACATCATCACTGGCTTTGTTAAGAAGCACAAGCTCACAACTTCAACCTCACATATATACCAACCAGCGTTCAACCCGCTGATGGACTTACCAAACTACTGCCTCGTCAGAGACACGAAAATTGGGTATCACTTTTACATTTCAAGATCTTTCCTACTATATAAGCTATAGCTATATAGTGCAGTACTCTTCCTGGTTTTTCCTCTATGGTTTTTACAGGGTTTAACGAGGCTGTAC